GACATGCTGGCATTGGCACACAAGTCGTGCAAGAGCCTACCAATACCCCAACATGAGATCTTTAAGATTCGAGAACGGATTAATATGACATTACAAATAAATTGGCGCCCAACGTGGGGCCCCGAGAGAGCTTCATAGATATTTAAATTAACGCCTCTTCATAAAGATAGTTCCCGGGTTCCTCAACCATATCTGTCGTTAATAACTAACATTAGGGCTGCCAGATATCTCTGTTGCCAAATCGGGACACTTTAGGGAGGGTCTCTCGATCCCTTCCCTTTCATTTGGACTTGCGAAAGGATGCAGTGAAATTTTATTTTGATAGACAAAAAAAAAAACATAAAAACATGAGATCATGAGATCAATTCAACGTACGCCAACAAAACAAAACAACTAATCACAACTAAAGCACAGAGAATTTTTCACAATGCATGACCCTTTTTTTATTCTTTATAAAAATACAGTTTATACTAAATATATCAAAAAACATAAAAATAAAATTGTTAAACTTTGTGCTAAATTCAATAAATTTGCATACAAATTTGCAACATTCTTATCAGACTTTTTATAAAAATTTGTAAAATGAAGTTTTGTAGCCCATTAAATTTTAGTTGAATTTTGGTATTGGTATTTACTGAGAGTTTCGGTAATTCTCTAGTGTAGGGTAACAACCCCTAAAAAAAGTCCGGAAAAGTCGGGACGACGCGTTTCGGCCCCCTTATTACCAATCTGGAGGGGGAGGGTTAATATTATTAACCATTTAAAAGTTATAAACAAAAACCTCTTCTTAAATTTCGTTGTTTTCTATGAGCAATTACCACGTCAAAAATGCACTAAATAACCAGTTTACACTTTTAAAACACTATTAAAACGTCTCCGGTTATTATTTTATGCAAACCAAATCATTTATTCACTTTTATTTTATATATTTCGTTAATGAAACAGAGTAAACAAACTTTGCGCCTGCCAAAATTATTATAACCTCAAATCGCTGGTATTGCCACTTTATTTCACATTTCATTTGCGCTATTATACTCAGTTTACACTACACACTTCTTCTTCTTCTTTTTTTAAATAAGATATTCTAACCAAAATATAATAGCAAATTTCGCTATACCATGGCAGCGCTACTTTTATGGTTTACAGTTATTTTAGCTGTAATTAAAAGTAAGCGTCATGGAGTGCCAAAAGTGCGATTTTTTATTAAAAATTTTCATTATTTATCGAAGTATTGATTTTTATGGAAAAAGCGCCGCAGGCAAAAAGTAGTTTTTCAATTTCGGGTGAAACCGAAAAATGGCGTTGCTTGATTGGTTTGTTTTCTCTACGTCAATATCATGCTCTACTAATGAGGTTCTACCGAGTCCTTTTGTTGCAAATGATGGAAAAAGGGCTATTGTAGCCTGAAGCTCAGCTTTTTGTGCTGGAGTCAGTACGTGAAATGTAGTCTAGTTCAGCTATGGATAAATCACTGCGTGAACTATAGGAAAAATTATCGAATAAATCTCTGGCTACGTCAAACTGTCGCACAAAATCGATACCAAGTTACAAGTTTTGTGTCAAAGAAGGAGTAATGAAAAATTGTAATGTTTTTACTTGATTTTTAAATTGTACAGGAGTTCTTATACTACCAACTGTAGCATGTTGTGTTCCGTCAGCGGTTTTCAAAAACGAAATATGCTTTTTATAATGAAAATCGGAACGATCTAAAAGTGGTTTTGCTAATTGAGACGCAGCGCAGGATATTGTGGCTCCAGTGTCCACTAATCCCTCTACTTCTTGATCAAAAATCTTGACTTTTGCATAAGGCCTGAGATCAGTTTTGGGTTTATCGGAGATGCTTGCGGAAAGCAACTGATTTCGTTGATACGACACATTTTACCAAAAGTTCCGTAAGCGACGTGTTGAACGTTTAGGTTTCTTTACGCCGAAGATACGCGTACGAGCTTCTTCGTATTCTCTTAACCTTACGTGATATGGCTTGAATGGAAACAACACTGGTTTCGAATTAGAGACATCAGGGATATTTGGAATTTTAATTAGGTTTGGTAAAAGTTGAAAACGCTCAGTTTGACAATCAGCAGATCGGTTTAGCGCTGAGTACTTCTTGTCGATGTCGACTGACCTTTTGCCAAACTGAGACGTGGCAGGTTTTTTGACTTGGTTAAGCAGTTAGTACAGTTTGGTTTTAAAACATTTTCGGCTACACAGCCATAACAAAAAATTTTTCGATCTCCTATGCAATCGTCAAAACGATGACCATGCTCGCGAGAGTTCCAGCATTGAATCTGTCTCACTAACGCTTCAATTCCTTCGGCATCTACTTCCGAATCTCTCGAGTCCTTTATTACGTTACTTGACACTTCACTGATCTGCCGGCGAGGATTCAGGTGCACCTGACGTAAACTGTTCTGAACTTCTTTACCAAGGGACTCATGTTCATGACCGAAGTGTCCTAATTCGTGTATGTTATAAATTTCGACATGCAGTAATGACTGTTTGGTTAGCGGACGTAAATTACTTTAACGCGTAGATCTAATCCATCGTTTTCCTAACACAAATAGGCTCAGATATTTCCAACACGCCCCCCGGCTTTACAATCGAATATGACAACACAGTTGAAGCTAGGTGGCAAAAACTAAGAACTGCAAAAGAAGGATGTTAGTTATTAACGACAAATATGGTTGACGAACCCGGGAACTATCTTTATGAAGAGGCGTTAATTTAAATATCTATGAAGCTCTCTCGGGGCCCCACGTTGGGCGCCATTTTATTTGTAATGTCATATTAATCCGTTCTCGAATCTTGAAGATCTCATGTTGAGGTATTGGTAGGCTCTTGCACGACTTGTGTGCCAATGGCAGCATGTCGGTTATAGGGTGAATTCTTGCCTACCTCTACGCTACAC